TGCCCGACGTCGTGCCAACAGCAACAACGGAAGTATTCCGGTAAAAATAAACACAAGCCAACAAAAGTCATGGGCTGCAGTGTCGTGCCCGGCACGGACCTCTCAAGAGAAGCAAACATCGAGCCAACTGATGGCCCCGATGCCGCGCGAGGCAACAGGAGCACCACGAGATACGTCCCGTGCAATTTCAAGGCATTCAAAACTTTTTTGAAAATCCCACCGCCTTCCAATCCGTCCACTCTGTCTTACAGAGCCTGGCCCCCATGTTCCACCGCCTTGCCCATTTCTCTCCTCTCCACTGTATGTCCCTGTCCCTTCCGCTTTTACTCATCACGTCATCGCTCCCACACCTCAACAACCTACTGTACTCCACGCTTTTTTCTCCATCATCCGTCTCCGCGTACAAGGAAGAGCCACCACAAACAACATCTCCCTTTAACACCAATCAAACAACCGCAAGCCCTCCTTGCTGCCTCTACAGTGCCCACATGCACTGTACAGTACCTTGGATTTCCTCTCGTTCTCAAGACTCTTTCCACCTCTGCTTGTTCACCTGAATATCTACCCATGCACGTGCCATATCCTCTACTCGTTTGCTGCCTGCCTGCACCACTGTGTACGTGACAAGTGCCCTTCTCTAACCCCATTACGCACCTCTCCCCCGGCGGAATAACTTTTCCATCACTGCCCCAGTCTCGCGGACCACCACAACTTCACATACCCCGCCTTCCACGCACATTCCGCCTGCATTCCCCCCCCCCCTCCTCTTTCGCCATACTGTACACCTGCTTCGCTGTGGTAATAGAGCTCCGTCTAACAATTCCATTGGTGTCCACAGCCAGGACAATACGCCACTTACCAAGGGTACCCTCCTTGCCCCTTAATTTGTACACCAAATAAACAATTACCTTGTTGCTGCAATTCATACCTTTCATACTGTAGTATGAAAAGTATGAATTGCAGCAGGCATACTGTATGTGTGCGTGTCTGAGGTGTGTGTGCTACTGCACATGTACTGTACAGTACATGGGAATCATGACTGACATTTCTGCGATTTCTACAGCAAAATTAACGACTTGTAAAGAAGACACAGTTTTAGCCCAAGCCAGGACGATGTTTTCGCATGAAAATTTCGACGAGAACACACAATGGCAAGGGGCAGGATTTTCGTATCATTATTTCGTTTGCCCTTTTCTCAACACATGCATCCCCTAACATTACTAAATTGATACGGGCCACAATATTTGTTATAATTCATTTCAAAATTGTAAGTGGTATTGGCAATGAAAAAGCTTTTGCACTTTGTTGCATAGTTACCAAGAAGGGTAGTTAACCTCGATTTGACAAAAATGTAGGGAATATGAGGCTCTCCGAAAAACGCCTTCAAATTTTGGAATTGACCGTCTACAACAACTCTCCACTCATCTATCTGTTGACAGATACAGACCAGACAGACAGACAGCTGATGTCAGCATCAGCATTTCAAGTACTTTTTCTTTGCGAAACTGTGCTCAACCGGCTGATATTTTCACAATTGAGATACCTGTATGTTCCACATAGAGACACAAAATGTCAAGTTTCAGAGACTACTGTCAGTATTGTCTTGAGCAACAACAAAATATCTTAAATTTATTCAAATCGGGTCTTCGTGCTTCATTTTATTATCCCAAAGGCGAAAGTGAAAACTTCTCGTTAGAATTGAGGTTTTCGTGTAGTATCTTGTCTTGAAGTTCGTTATGCTTTCGCCAATATTCTTCAGGGCTCGTAGATACAGGTGGGGGACCCCACCTGTAATCGTACTGCTACACCAGACTGCCACACCAGGACTATCCAATAGACCCACGGAAAAAGACAAAAACAATCCAACCCATTCGGGAAGTTCTCAAAAAATATGTAGTGTGTTCAATAAGAAACATACATGTTTCCAGAATACATAGAAGCGATGTTGATGCAACCGCCAACTTGAATGCCAAGTTACGTAAATTATATAATACGGATGAAAAACCGAAAAATTAAAGATCATCACTCAACTGCTCGACATTCTGAGCTGCCTGTTTACAAGTTGTTTTTATACTTCGTCAACATGTTTGCTGGAGTCGGGATCCATGGCGAGAGAGTCAGAAACGTTCGTTTCTTCCAATTCTCCTACAGGGTCATTGGGATAAGCAGGTCCACCATGCTTGGAAATATCATTTCCAATTAACTCTTCACTCTCGGAAATTCTCAACAAACCCATAACGTTGAGTGCAAAGAAGAATGGAACGATGAGAACTAGGACCCAGCAAACAATGATAATGCAACCAACAAGATTCGAAGCAAACAATTTCCATTCAGATATGTCCATAACAAAGCCGCCTTGTTGATCTGGCAACCCAGCCGCCGCTTGATACGTCTTGCTGTTGAAAATCCCTGAACAAAGAGCACCCCAGAATCCGACGGCTCCGTGAATTGGGAATGCCTCCAAAGGATCATCGATTTTGAGTTTGAGAAGGGAAAGGCAGCGAAAATATATATCACAGCCCCAATTGCACCAATGATTACAGCTGCCCAAACTTCGACAAAAGCACAGCATGCAGTGATGGCCACAAGGCCAGCGAGAATCCCATTAAGAACAGCGAGGAGGTCGAAAATGTGATCCATGACTTTCTTCAAAACTAATGTTGTGATTCCACCTGCTGCGGCAGCAATCGTTGTAGTCACTGCGCAACGGGCCACTACCGTGTAGGCACCTCCAGAAATACCTAGTGCGGATCCAGGGTTGAATCCATACCATCCAAACCAAAGCATGAAAGTTCCCAGCGTACAGAGAGTGGCGGAGTGACCTGGCATGGGCACTGGTTTCCCCTCGGCGTTAAAACGTCCATATCGTGGTCCTACAATTGCTGCACCTGCCAATCCTGCAAATCCACCAACCATATGCACGACAGAGCATCCTGCGAAATCAATCATTCCATGACCGAAAATATTAGACAAGAAACCACCACCCCAGACCCAATGTGAGACGACCGGATAGACGAAAGCCGTTAAGAAGAACGCATAGCTTATGTATGCGTAAAATGAAGTTCTTTCGGCTACTGATCCAGAAACGATGGTTGCGGCCGTGGCTGCGAATGCCCATTGAAAAAAGAAACCCGTAAAGTCATCAAAATCACCTTCGCTTGAAGCTGAAAGTGCGAAGTTTCCAGAGCCGATGAACCCATTGATTTTAGAATCTCCTCCATACGCGAAAGCCCATCCAAAGAGGTAGTACGCTATAGCTCCAACGCATGCGTCCAGAATATTCTTTAGAAGAACGTTTTTCGTATTTTTCGTGCGGACCGATCCTGCTGTCAACATAGCAAAACCGCATTGCATCAAAAACACCATGTATCCTGAGACAAGAACGAACATGGTATCTAAACCGGAGACATTGTCCTCAACAACTTGTTTCAGCTCGTTAAATCCAGTGACCAGTCCTGTGGCGTTGAGAGTGCCATCGTCGGCAAAGAAGTAGGTGGAATCCATGTTTCTCAACGAAGACGGTGCTGTTCCCGCTAGGTAAGGTTGTAGCTGGTCTCTTAGTTCATGGTGAAAAACCACACAGTGCCTCTCAGGACTCACTTATATGCTTCTCATTGCAGGCAAATAGAAGGACTAATTGCAGGGTTTCTGTCGATTTAACAGAAGGGCAAAGGGCCACAACCGTTTAGTTTACACCAATATAGAGGGATTTTAAAAGACTTGAAACAGCGGCCAAGGGCAAACGTTTTATCATTATATCTTCTTGCTGCACTAGTTGGCTATTTCTATCAGCTGTCACTTGAATACGTTTCGGCATGATTTAGTGGGCACGTCAGTGGTGAAAGACATTTGACCACATGCGGACTATTTGTTCCATAGGTTTCTGTTTTTAACGAGTTTTCGGTTACAGGCATGTATATTGCAGAACAGTGTCGACAAAAGGCATTTCTCACCACTCATTTTTCCCAATACATTCTTCAGTGGACAAATCTGGAAAAAATCTCCACGACCATCGATCAACTAAGGCTTCTTCAATTCTCTTTAGGGTAAAAAGACGAATGCCGTCCCTAACAATCGCATTAGAAACCCTCATTACATTCAAAGGGCAAATTTTGGGGGTCTGTTAATTTCCAATACGTTGCGACCAAGACTTTTTTTCATGTTTTTATCTTTACACATTTTGCTACAAACTGTCAAAAATAACTGTTCAATTCGTAGGGGTAATGGTACTACCAAACTATCTTTCATCATTTCCGTGTAGTTGTCTACCAACTCTACATCTTCATCACACATAAATTAAAAATTTTCAGGACCGATAGATATGGGCTGCTCACTGAAGGAATATGTCGTAGTTCGGAGCTGTTTTTGTCTGCATCATCTAGGTGAATGTGGATTGGGGTACTCTCAGAGGTCCAATGAGCTCTACCTATATTGTATGGACTGTACCTGGGACTCTTAAAATGTGTTTCTGTGATAAGGGATAATACCCGGGTCAAATATGTGAAAGAAACATCATTACGCACGTTAATACTTGCCTTACAAGTATTCTAGAGTTTATCCGACCGATGTGCTCATGTGGGAACACTTTTCAAATTATTTAATTCTTAGCGTTTGCTTTACACTGCGGCATGGCATAAGAAACCCTCTCCACCGTACCCGAATTATTCCTTGAGGCCTGAAAGAACTTTGTGAATTTTGCGTGTGCTTCCCGGTCGTTTTTAGATATGTCTACAAAAAGATGCTTTTTTAAACCACCTTTAAATCGCATGTCACATTAATGCGAAACAAAAAATCAAGTTTAAAAAGGAACGAGATTATCAATTTGCATTATATTCTTAATCTTTCTGTGTATCCAAATATACTATTCCGGTGTTCTGCAAGATGCTATTGCCAAAAACAAGAAGTCAACGGAATAGTTGTCCGAAAACCTCTGTGAAAGAGTATTTCCTTAATTGATTCAGGTCCAATCCTGACGCGGGCGCACGAGAGCCAGCGTCGTTCCTACACGGAACGCGGATCTAGGTGAAGACGAGAGTTGCGGCTGCTCGCACAGGAGAGCGCCGCCAATAGATGCAATAAAGCAGCTTTATTTACTTGTGTTCGTCTTGTCCGCGGAACCGCGGGAACGTTAGCGCAAGCTTCTGGAATCTAATAACTCACTGTGCTCCTGTCTCTGCTGCTGGCAATCTTCTTTCTTGACCACTTGCACTAATTGCACTACCACCATAAACGGCCGCGACCTTTGGTCTCCTATTTCACTACATCCTCTCAAGCGACCGTTCCGACCCTTCCGAAACAATCTGACTTTGGATCTTTCCCAGCGACCCTTCCGAGGCAATGTGACTTCGGATCTGCTTAAGATCATATGTATTGGCTCATTATGACAATCGGGACATTCTGTGGGGCTTTTCATGTACAGCACACCACGAGCGTGTTTCTGTCCTTCGACAATAGTGTCTAGGAAATATTTCAAATGTCAATTCATTTTATAGTTGGAAATGCATGTATTCCTATTCATGTCGGCTAGTTTTTTCATTGGGGCAGAAATGAGAAGAAGATAACGAACCTGAAAAGAGGTTCAGTCGGTATACACGTGATGGAAAAAGTTCTCAATAATTAGTTCGTCATGTGCTAGTAAAGAAATTAAACTAGCAAAGAAATCGACATTTTTGGTTGCAGCAGGTGGTAGCCGCTTACATCCCCGTTTACTGATATGACGTATTCAAACGCCACTTCATCATTAAAAGGTTATAACAAGTATTTCTGCGAGTACAACACCATGTAGCCATGATGTCGCCGTATTTTCACTGCAAAAATGGCTTTGGAAAGGGGTTGTATAAATAAACAGAAGCACAGAAGTATTGACTGATGTTGAGAAACTGAAGAAAATAGTTTTGACAACGTGAAGATGTCATACAATTTACTTGCACCGCCTCAGACTGGGCGTTATATATTTTACACAATCCTACGTAAACGCACCTAAACCGTAGAAACATCCTAAACTATGGCCATACGATCAGTGGGGGCGATTCCGAACTAAATCCAACTTTTATGTGGGATTTAGTGACACCCCATCCACGACCGAAGTAGGTCAACAAGCCCTGCATTTTAGGACATTTCGAAAATGTGCAAATCCGCTCCTGTACATAATATGTCTGAGTTCTATAGCAAGATAGATTACATATTATGTAATCTATCTTGCTATAGAACTCAGAGTGAGCAGCATTTAACGGAAAATGAATTTTCTTAATCGCTGGAGCCGTTACAGAGCCAGACTTCTCGCCATGAGCAAATTCAACGAGTCCCAAATGTCAGTGGAATTAATATCGTTGTCCGCCAAGTAAACACGTGTGATTGGTTGCAGAAACTAAAACTGGTTGGTCGCAAAGTAAATTATAAAACTGGAAATACAACCACGAGTTTTCATAAGCCGTGTGAAGCAGGCCTTCTTGTAGTGCAATAGCCCTTTTTAATTAACGAAAAATGTTGTTGTTTTTAAGACCCCCAAATTGGGCAATTTCTTGTCTCGAATTAGTGGTGAAAACAAGCATCCTGCCTCGTTTACAGCGCGTAGAGTTTTAATTTAGAAGGCCGAGCTTTGGACTCTGATGTGACAACTCACACCAATCCGAACATGAGTTCGGATGAGGATGACCTCTCAACGGCTGTTTCTATGTTTGCGCAGTTTGAGGCACAACTGCAGCACACCTCCCAACTTACCGTACAGTTCGCTTCAGGTGCTCGGGATTTGCTGCACCAAAATACCTCCTCAAGTGAAGACGAGCCTGGCCCTGGGCGAGGAAACAGTGTGGACGGAACAAAAGCGCGATATGTGCGAAGAGAGCCGTCCAATTTCTACAATTTCGTATGCGAGGAAGACGCTGACTTCTCCCTCTTTACAAAATTAACTCATTTGTTTCGCGAGGAGTTTGACGGTTTACATACCCTTGCTTATACAGAATTACAATAGCCGTTTAACATTCGGGGACGTCATGACGACGAGGGCCTGCGCATTTCGAAAAGGCGAAAGTTGAACACGGATGAGATGCTTTTTATGCTGTTCGATATCTCCGGAGGCCCAAATGAAGGCAGTCAGGGCCTTGAACATATAGCAATTAAGTACGGTATGTCGGTCGCGTCGGCTTCTAACTACTTCCGACATTCAGTTATAGCATTACATCGCAGTCTAGACAGCTTGTCTCCTCGCCTCATTCGTGGCCGGACGAGGAGGAAAGAGAATCTATGGAGGGGCTGCTGGTTGGCTTTCCGTCTTGTGTTTTTTTGTAGATGGGAACAATAATCGAAGATGGCGTCCTAAAGACTCTGAGATGCAAGAAAGGGAATACAATAGCTACAAGAAGGCACATGTGTTCTCTGTCATGGTATTCTGCGATTTTTTTGGTGTATTCATCAGAATCGAAATCACCGACAAAGGGGCGGAGTCAGATAGGTCAATATACGTCGACTCAGACATTTACAAAAGGAGAGATCTATACCTTTCCGGATCACAGCATGGGATGGCAGACATGGGGTATGCTGGGGACAGAGATCTTGTCGTTCCGTACAAACGCAACGAAAGCACGTCGTGGCTGTACCGTTCTATGCACAACCAAGATATAAGATCTCAACGAATGGTCAATGAGTGGGGAATGGGATTTATTAACAACCGTTTCCGTCTTTTCCTCGGTCGCTGGCCGTTTGAGCCCGAGCTTTTTCCTATTGCATACCAAACTGCGGCGATGGTCTGTAATTGGCAGTTCAATCCCCGGGGGATATGCTCTACAGACCAGGGAGAGATACCAAGAAAAGATCGAACGGTCAAACAATGTTTCTGAATGACAGTTCGTAAACATAATCCTATTGTACTCTAGCAGCAGCGAGCGGAGCGGCGAGCGCAAAGTCTGAAGCGGAGTGAGAAGTTGTGTGCGGCACACGCTCATAGTGGCCGAGCTGGAACCGAAGACGTCGCGAAAGGAATTCCCCTCCTCCATCACCCCCTAATCCCTCCAAAGCCGCCCCCTCCCCCTGACTACAGCTCACCACTTTTCTTCTTCTATTCTCTATACCCTTTGAGTTCAACCCTGCAACATTCTCCCTGAACTCCACTCTTCTCACGTCACTCTTTAAGTTCATACTGCAAGCCCCATCGCCATAGTGCGACAATCCTGCCCAAGACTGCAACACAGAGCAGAAAATTCTGCTCTGCGTCACGAAGACGACGAGCGGGGACGTGGTGTCGTCAAGAGACGCCAGGTACTGCCATGTGCTGGGCAGCATGTGGGCGCGCGAGAGCTCCGACACGAGGGTGATAAAGTACAGGACAGTGAGCGAGACCCAGTCCAGCATCGGGGCGCGCGGTGGCGGGAGGCGCGCGGCGGCGGGAGGCACAGGGTGTCGCGCAGGGACGGGAAGGACAGCGACAGCGGCAGAAAGAAGAGCGAGGTCGAAAAGGGCACAGTCTGTGGTGGCTGCATGGCGGCGACGGCCTTAGGGGCAGCGGCCTG